CAAAGACCACAAATTGCACTCGCCCTACGGGCTCGTGCAATTTTGTTAGCCTTTGAAAAAATTTACTCGTGCTTATTTATTCCAAATTGCACTCGAAATCATGTGATTACCTGTACAAATAACTCAAACGATAATTCATATTTCGCGTAGGCCTCAACGAGCCTTTTCAAACCGGGAAAGAACGCTGCTTCTGACTGACTTCTGATCGAAGACTGGCCTCAACCTCCAGAGACAGCAACCGAGATGTTAAACGGAGGAAAATGAGGAAACGTTTCGGCTGCAATTACATGGGGGACTGCAGTATGGCTTTCATTTCGTGTGACCAAGCAAAGCAACTGAGTTTCACGGTTGATAGTGAAATCAGATGCACACGCTAGTGGGTAATAACTAAAACTTCCCACTAAGGAGAAGCGATTAGAGGCGACTGTATTCGAAAGCTTCCTTCACAGCAGTTGGCAAGATCTTCGCAAGACTAAATATTGTAATCCACTACTGAGCTGCTATGAAATTATCGAAACTGGGGTTTCTTGGCCTGACTGGTTCTACTTTATGTAACGCTATTTGCTCTCTTTTTGAAAGTTGTCTTCGCATCATTTTTATTCCAAAAACAATGGCCCAGTTTAGTTATTTAAGACTATATTTGGGCATTGAAACTGTTTGCTGCCGTCTTTTGCAATGCCATGGCAAGGTGTGACGATAAGTTTTGCCCTTCCAAGCACTAATCGGGGAATTAAACGTAAAGAGAACTCGAGTGACTTCGGCGTCAGAACAACAAGGGGGAAAACTAACTCGCAACTCGCTTGGCTAGCGGGAAAGGAACTCGTCACTATTCCAAGGTACCGGATCTGCTACAACTGGAAACAGGACAAGACTCAAACTTGGACTTCAACAGTTTAATCTTCAGCTCGTTAACCTAAATTGTACAATCAATTAAATCCGCAATGTAAAAACGTACAAGCATGTAAATCCGCAATGTAAATCGTACACGGCATGAAACTCCGGCCCGCAATGTAAATCGAAAAACAGGAATAACAGTGCTCTATTTATACTAACCGATCAACTTATTACAACATCACAAAACAAATGGAAAGAAGGCTGAATAAAATCAGCTGAACAGCAAAAACAAATCTGGATAAATTCAGTTTTAAAGTTCATAT